GTGGGATAAAATGGGAAGAGAGAGAGAGAGAGAGAGAGAGAGAGAGAGAGAGACTTAGGGAGAGAGTGAGACCTATCTTGGAGAAGTACTAGTCATTAGATGTGTAGTTAACTGTAGTGCATATCACGGAATCATTTGTTCCGTAGTTTATTAGTTTGTCTCACATTTAGATTATATTTAGTTTACAATGAGATTTATTGCACTTAATTAGTTAAATCTCATATCATCTCAACTGTCATCCAATCACTCAAACATTTCCTCTGCAGTACTTTCTATTTGCTCTTCAATTCATATCTCATCTCAATTATAGCAAAAGAATATTGTATTTAAAATCAATTATGCATTCATTTAGTTGTGAGAAAAATATTCAGAGTTGTGAACCGAAAATACCTACCATTTACAGCATTGGCTGCCGACGAGCCTAAGAAACGCAACAATTTAGGTAAGTGTCTAAGCATTACATTCATTATCGATGTTTTAAATGTATTACAAATAATGTGAGAACGTGTGACCATTGAGTGTATCATTACTCGAGTATTAAAGCATTACATGACTGACTTCTCTATAATCACTATAATTCTAGTTATTATACCATTCAATACATTCACTCTTTAGTGATTGAATCTTATTATTCATTTGTTTTAAACAAAAAATGACAAAATGGATGACTTATAATCACAATTTGTTTAAAATGTTAATTAATTCCTAAAATAAATGCCAGATATAGAAAATATTGGGTCTTTAATTGATTGGCACTAAAAATGCTGGCAAACGAAGAGCGAGCGAAAAGTCAAAACATGAGAACCAATTTCATGACAATTGTTGGTAAATTAATTCGCACTAAAGAACCCGATCTCTTAGCTGCAGACCAATCAGAAAAACTTCAGGTTTGTATTGAATTGGTTTAGCCATTCATTGATAAGAAAACCTTATATTTATTTATTAAGAAATAATTATTGAAATTTCATTTCACGCAGAGATGTCTGACAACCAGAGATCTCGTCTCATTAGGAGTTGGCAGTTGTGTGGGCACAGGCATGTATCTAGGTGAGTCTTGTTTACCTACTTGGATTTTATTTAAATTTTCATCGATCAAACTCTTTGAAATAATTTGAAAATAGCACATAAAAATAAAATAAAGTTTTATAAAGAATTCTTTGCTACAACACAGAATAATACATTTGTATATCAAATATAGTGTGTTAAAAGAATTTTATCACAAATGCACCATAATGCAATATTAGAATTTATTATTTATTTTTATTAAATTTACATAAATTTCAGAAAATTTTGCGCTGAAAACTATTAGTGATTTCATTATAAACTCATTTAAATAAAAAATAAACCTAAATTAATAAAATTCCTGACAGGTATATGATATTTACCAACGTATCGCAAAGCGGGTAAATTCGGTCATTTGCAAACATTATTATAATGTATTGTTTATGAGAGCATAGAGACAAAGCCTACCTTTTAAGAAGTCCTGATATGTACTATAAATTGCATATTTTTAATTAGTATGCTATATTAATGAGACTAATACGTATTTAAAATGGCACTAAACATATTAATATAATATCATTACATATTATCTAATGTGAAATTATATAACTTATCCATTAGTAAAAATAATGTTAGAGTTTATGGTCACAAGTATATGACCCGTCGGTGCGAACGGACGCCCACTCGCACCACAATATTGTGCATTCGTTTCCTTTGCGTAAATTCTCTAATTCTCATACATATTCTCATTATAAAACTTGACATATAATTATTCTGTAGATAATAGTTATTTAAAATGAAATTCATATATAATTAATTTTCCATGAATGCATTATTTGACTATAAATTTTAAATTCAAACCATAGAATAATTTCATTTAAATTTTATACATAAACAACAGCTGTATTTTGTGTCTAAAAATTACATTTATGATCTACAGAACAGTTTATTATATTTATTATAAGTATATTTCCAAATTACAATTGTTTTTAAGCGTTTACCAGTTTTACTATAGATACGAAATTTGTTCAATTTTGATGTCAATTGTTAGTCAAATACACTATTATATGATTGTTTAATGTGTGACATAAACGACAACATTAACAGCAAATATTGACACAAAAATAATAGAGAAGAATGAGTCTGAATGACACAAAAGATGAATTTCATATTTCATATTAATTACCTCTTCACATCTAACTTTATATAGCGTTTTTGTAGACTTACAATACATACAATGCAGTATACATTACAATTCATTCCCGTTAAGTATTCTTTATTCTGCATAAAATTAATTTGTTAAAAATGATATTTATTATGAAAACTATAGACTTTTATGAAATTCATGATAATTTTATAAAAGTGGTAAGAAATGGTTCTTTACAAATGAGCAGTTTGTAACTATACTATAAGAATCAGGATTTGGTGGTCAAATTAAAATATCAGTTCAACCGATTTGACATCTCATTAATAAATATGTCTCTTTTTGTGTTGTTTGTTAAGGGATTGAACGCTATTTACATAATATTGATACAGAATATTCTATATTTTACACAGAATAAAGATCATAAATGAATTCACCCAATCATTTGGTTGATTGCATTTTGATTGTTACTAAATATGTTGCACATTAATAGCTAATTAAACCTAAATTCTGTGCCATTTTTATAAGTAATAATGAGTTATTGATTTATTTATAATTACAAGTTTAGATTGCGGATCTATATTAAAATTTAATTAATTATATATTGTTTTATTAATAAGTATTGGCAAATCGATTGTCACACTATAACTTCTGCAACAATTATAAGTCAAACATGCGTTTAATGTTTGTTCCCAACACTTGAACTGTTATTTAAAAGGAAATCAATAATAGATGAAAAGAAAAATACAAAAATAGGTATTTAAGTGGAGAACAGGAATGTATTGTAAAACATAATACAATTCGTGCCTCTCATGCGAATGCGAACGCTATTCAAACATTTCAGTTGTGCTAAACTCCAGCCAAAAATCAATTTATATTTATGTTTTTTATTTACTTTCATTTCCTAATCAATGCTATTAATCATATAATATAAAGAGACAGTAACATTGTATTAAAAAACTACACATTTTAAAATCAATTTTAGATTAAAAAAAGTCCTATTAAATGTTTCGTTCAGTTAAACCATTTTCATTATAAATTTTTCAAATTACTGTAAGAACTTATTAGTAAAAACAATTATAATTATAACTATTGCATTCAATATAATAACACATTGCACGACAATTCAATTAAAATTATTAGATGTATACATTTTATAATTAGAAGCATTTTTTATCAACTTAAAATTTATAATGTAACAATAATTAAATTATAATAAAAGTATCAAATTAATAATTATTATTTTAATCATATGTTAGAGAATAATGATCAGCTATATGATGCTAAATTAGGTTTATTTATATTGATTTATAACTAGTGTTACGAAACTAACTGCAAATATTAAATAATAATTATACTATAAATAATAATTATACTATAAATTATAGTCTATATTATAATGGCTATAGTCTAAAATATAATGGAACTTTAGTTCTAATGTAAAGTCTATGTATAAGTTCATGAGAGTTTGTACTGATAGGTGTAAATGGTACATTCTTGGTCTCTAACATAATACAAAATAAAAATGAATATTAGGAATGTATATTGCTTATTGTCTATACAGTATTAAATTGTAATGCTTATTTCCTTCTGGAATTTGGAATACAGAATATGCCAAAAATAAATACAAATTTATTTATCTGTATATTAAATATGGTCTAAACTAATACTAAAGTATGATGTTGCCAGGGTAGATATTCCAAAATTGCATTTAGAATTATTTGTTTATTTAAAGTCAAATATTTAGCAATAAATTCTGACATTTAATATAAATTATAATTGTATTACATATTGATATGAATTAGTGGCCGGAATGGTGGCGCGCAATGTTGCCGGACCTGCAGTGATATTCTCGTTCACAATCGCTGCGATC